CTACTACGACTACTACGACTACTACTACTACTACTACTACTACTACTGCTACTACTACTACTACTACTACTACTACTACTACTACTACTACTACTACTACTATTACTATTACTACTACTACTACTACTACTTACTACTACTACTACTACTACTACTACTACTACTACTACTACTACTACTACTACTACTACTACTACTACTACTACTACTACTACTACTACTACTACTACTACTACTACTACTACTACTACTACTACTACTACTACTACTACTACTACTACTACGGTTAATACTCCCATTATTAGTAGTAGTTGTAATACTTGTTGTTGTTGCTGTTGTAGTCGTCGGCGTGTTCGTCGTCATCGGAATCGTCGTCGTACTCCTCCCCCTCCTCTTCCCCCTGAACGCCGCAACGTTCATATACTACACAACGCCCGCGTGCGCATTCAGTGCCCGTATACACCACTCAACGCCGGCAAGTGCGAGCGCCGCGCTCCGACCGCCGCGCCAACGCGTCTCAGCAACAGAACAACACTGCGTCCCTGAGAACACCACTGGACACCCTCGCGAGTGCCACAGCGTCCCTCTGAGCACATCATCAAGCCTCTGAGCACCAGTAGCTTGCGAGCGCCACAGGACGTCCGCGGTCGCCACCGGACGACCGCCGCGACGCGACTACACGGAAGGGGGGCCGGGCCGGTCACGCGCGTGATATCGCCGGGGAATTTCCGAACGGGCTCCAAGGGCGACGACCCCAGTTGGCGGCGCGAAGAGGGGGGGGGGGAAAGGCCTCTTGGAAGGGGGCTGCTTCTTAGAAGGCGCCAGCCTGACACCTACAGACAAGGCCCGAGCCTTCTGAGAAGCAGGGGGTGTTCCGAAGAGGCCTTCCCCCCTCCCCCATACTCTTTTCTGCGCGTGGCTGATCGGCTACACGCAAAAGTGACCCCAGGCAAGAGTGTCCTTTGATGCGCGGAATAATAGGGCGCGCAATGGCCAGATCCAAGCGCGCAAGCAGCCGCGATTGCATCGCGCTCCGCGATCGCAGGGGTCCCGGTGAGCCCGCGCCCAAAGCGCTTGTTTGAGCCGGGCGCGCGCGGGCGGTGGTCATCGTCGTTCGCTCGTCGTCGTCGCGCGCGCCTCCCTCTCCTTTTCTCTCTCCCTTTTTTTTCGTTGCTTCCTTTCCCGCATTTTCTCTCTGTCACTCATGCGCGCAGTCGAGCCAACCCAGCGTGGTCGCTGCACGCGATGCGACAGCAGCAGCCCACGTGCTCGGGCTCGGCCTTCCCCCCGCGCCCCCCGAAGGCCGTGCACTGGAGGCCGCCTTGGCGAGGGGGAGAAGTAAGAAGAGTGAAAAGACCGTCTCAAAGGCGGCGGGACTTCTCAAATGCCCTCGCCGACCTTCCGAACCGTGTCCTGCGCCCTCGGGGAAGGCTTCGGAGATTTCTAGGAAGGCCGGGGGACCCCCAGGCCTCCTGAGAAGGCCCGCCCCCTCTCGCTCCTCCCCTGGGCTCGCCGCCGAGACGTGCGTGGGGGACGAGAGGGGAACTGGCTCGGGGGGGGGGGGGGGGAAGTGACGTGGAATCGGCGATGCACCGCCGACTGGTCGGCGATGGGCCGCTGCTGGGGAAGCCCCACCCTCCAGGGCGGGGTGGGGCACCTGGGCCCCGCACGGCGGGGAACGAGCGACTGCTGGGCACACGCCGACGTGGATTACGGACGCGTCTGGCGCGCGGGCGACAGATCCACGGATCGGGCCGAAGCATGAAGCCATCGCCGCCCGATCTGGCGCTGGAGCGCGTCGAACAGGTATGGACACGGGGCCCAGCGCCAATCCGCGCACCCTGAAGCATGCCTGCGCTTCCTTGAGACTGGGCGCCGATGCATACCCCCGCTGAGCCAGTCCCCTCGTCGCTGCCCCTCTGGCCAGGCGCAAGAGTGGCCCTAGACAACAGTGACCTTTGTTCCGCGGATGTAGGGGGCCGCTGGAAGGGCGGAGGGGAGGGCAAATCCGCCCTTACCGTCGCCACTGCGCCTCGTCTTGTCCCGCATGCACTGCAGGTTCTCGCGTCCTGTCTCCTCC